CCCCAAAACCCCAAAACCCCAAAACCCCAAAACCCCTTGTACAATAAATTTTATAGAATTTTATTTAATGAAAGACAAAGCTACCCTTTATAAGATAAAACAAGATTTGGTTAATAAATTTGGAGAACAGAACATCAACACTATCAACAGAGTGATACTGGATATCTCTTATCAGTATGAATTCGTCTAATTTTCTTTTATTTTGCAAAATGCTTAGTTTATATTAAGATTTCACACTTTGGCTTTTAGACTGTTTGACCAAGACATAATCCCATATAAATAAAATATTCAAAATGTGTTGTGAGAAGGTACAGAAAGGATGAGGTGAAATAAGCCCGTCACCGAGAAGTTCCAAAAGAGCATTTCGGAAGGGTCAGAAGAATCATAATAGAAATAATAGCACTAATATTGAGAAAGTTACTGATAAACTACAGAACCAAAGTAAGATTGAGTTATCAATTTAGTGAATGACCGCTATCCTTCTGTGAGGAATACTCCCCAAAAAGGGAAGTTGCATGATCAAAGAAGCAACAATGTAAATTTGCAAATAAATACTTTAGAAATTACAGAAAATTCAAGCAAAGCTTAGGTCTATAGAGAAATACCCTATAAAGGACCTTGCAGGATTGAACATGAACAATTTGCCTTCTTTAGGCGGGGTCAAACTTCAAAATTCTACTATTGATATTGACCCGAGAAAACATCAGAGGAGGAAGAACAAGTCTGTCCTCACGACTCCTCTTATCCAGAATGGGATAAATAATAGTTTGATTGTTGAAAAAGAGGAAACTTTACCACAAAGAATAAAAGTTAATCAAAGTATGGCTGAAAGACATTCTCCAAAAATGCAATACTCTACTCAGTATCCCCAAGAAATTCCAAAACGGAGGTCAAAGAATTTAAGTGTCTGGGATGCCATGCTACTTCACGATGTGAAGAATTATGAAAAGGAGCAGGATCTGAAGAAAGAAAATGATAAGAATAATCAGAGAAAACTAAAGGCTTTTCTTGACCAACAAGTTAACTACAAAATGGATCAGTCTAACTTCGAAAGACTCAAGGAGCAAAAAGAGCACAAGAGTTTAGTAAGCCACTTGTCAGCATTTGACAGATCTCAAGCTAGGAGACAAGTCAAGCTTCAAAAGAGGATGATTGACAATAGTAATTACCTATTAGAAGCATCAAAATCACACGAAAAGAAAGCTCTGAAACTCAACGAGAAGAAACAGTTAGAACGTCTTTTCATATTGAACGAGATCCGGAAGGTCTCTGAAGAGGAACAACAGAGGCGTATCGAACAATATAAAAGAGAGAATGTAGAGAAGGAGTTCCTCAGGTCGACTATCCTCCAGAAATCTCAAGAGAAGGAAATGCTCCTCAACAGTGAGAAGAAGGAAGCTACTCAAAGTATGAGAGACCAGATAAAACAATTTGATGATGCTGAGAAATAGATACAAGGACATATTTGTAGCTATTGATAAGAAAGAACAAAAGATCCAACAATCATATCAGAAGTTACAGGCTGGGTGAAGAAACCTAGCCCTTGCAGAGGTCGATAAGGACAAGTCACTCGAGGATCTGGTTAAAAAGCAGAACAGACAGGCTACTAAGATGAGAGAGAAGTATGAGCATTACCTCCAAAAGAAGAAAAATAAAGATTTATCTGATTTTAAGACATACAATGCTCTCAATCTAGGAATTAAAAACCAGAAAATGACTAAGAATGAATTTGATAAAGCCACTACAGAGAACTACATAGTGATGAAGGATATGATGGAGAAGATGATCAGAGCAGATGAGGAACGGAATAAAAAGATTAAAATGCAGGGAGAGCTCAGACAGACCCTTCGGAAACAAATGGTTGAAAAGAAAGACCAGAATGAAAGAGATTTCCAATACCTTAATGATAAAGAATTTGGAATTAACAAGCAAATTCTATTGAAGATGAAACGTGCCAAGGATGTCAGCCTAGAAGACCAACAGAGTTTGATATAAATTTCAATTTAGGTTCCTTATATTGGGGTTTTGGGGTTTTGGGGTTTTGGGGTTTTGGGG